GGTAAGTGTTTGATAATAGTCTAACCTCTGGCTTTCAGCTTTATCTGCAGCGCTGCAGGGCAACAACTGATGGCCCTTTCCAGCCAGGTGACAGACACAGCAATACTCTTGGAAATACTAGCTGAAGTGCTCAAAGGAAAAAATCTCTCGGGTACTTGTGTGTTCAAGCTTCCCTTCCTGAGGAAAAAAACTGCTGTAGCCCTCAGATTGTTAGGGAGAGCCCAGTGGAGGCATTGGTGTATGCTTTATTCCCTGCTTTGAAGGAATGCAAAAGAAGTGCCATGCATTTAATTACTCATAAGTCTTTCCTCTTGAGAGTAGTTTCTCTTGGGTCCGTGGCCCTGATACTAGGGACCGCACACCTATCCTGGAAGCCATGGATGCTGACCCTCTTTGGAGATCTAACGTAGTGTTCAGGCTTGTGCATCATTAAGAAGACTATTTAATAATAATGATAACCTATCTAAAGGATGAACAGATTTCTCACACAACCACCTCCATTTCCTGAAGTCTTTAATGCCAGCAAATTGGATTCCTAGTCTGATGTGTTTCTATGCTGGTGGGTATTTACTTTTGTTTAACATTTACTTAGTGCTTCTCTGTTTTGTTTTCCCAGGGAAAGCAGATATTTAAACATCTCTGCAAATCCTCCTTCAGGAGTCCTGCCTACAGGCTGGACTGCAAGAATTGCATTTTCTTGAGCAAGAATCAAGGTCATTTTTTTCAGCTGAAGTCTGGGGTTTTCAAATCTCTGAGTGATGAGATTTGTGCTTTACTCTTTTATATGGAATCAGCGATACAGTTGATTTCCATTGTATGTACAATGTAATGCAGAGAGTAATTTCATGTTTGCTCCTAGATCTGTTCATTTGAGCCTTTTTGTGTATATACTTACTGCAAGCCCCCAGGGAAGCTTTCTCTTACCCTTTACAGAATGATGTGAGGAGATACTATTGTTGCTTTTAAAATACAGTTTTCATTTGATGGGGTCTTGAAGAATTATTGAAAAGTAGGTGCCAGGGGACACTGTGGTGGCCTTTCTGCAGGTGAGGAAGCAAAGCCAGGGAATCAGACTGTCTGGAAGACTGCAGGCTTCACCTGCAGGTGGTCTTATATTTACCTGCTCCAACACGCAAAAACTCTCCATCCTGTCCAAGCCAGGTTGTTTTATGTTGCGTGTATATCTTGAGTTTCAGGACGTTTCTTGCTCCACAATTGCTAATGCCCTGCTAGTGCTTTGTGTTTCTTTTGTGGATGCCACCCTAAGACGACTGCAAATTCTCTTATATCTGCTGGAATATGTGGCCTATTCATTAATTTTTATCACTATCTTGGAAGAAGAACCTTAGACACTTTGCTGCCAAACTTTTCTTGGGAGCATAATTTAGCTATGTCTTTTATTCTGTCACTTGCCATAAATCTGTTTGGTGCTTCAAAAGCAATTCCAGTGCAAATGCAAAATGGGAAAGGACTTTTCCTATGTGACAGTCAATGAAGTGTGATATCAGGCTATTCTGCTGCAATTTCTGATCTTTTTATGGTGCAAGGATACAGGCTATTGTTGCAGTTCAATCCTGTGGATAAGCTCCATTTTTTTTTAGCCTTTGGGTGCAGCAGATGCTGATGGTGTCCTTCATAACGACCAACACGCAGGACGCTGCAGGATTGCTGTCACCAGCTCTCTTCTCTGTGTAATCACCTTGGTTTCCACGCTTCAGTCATTACTGAAGACCCGAAGTGTTGTAGACCGATGATGACCAAGCAATGCTTCTCAAGGAGGTAGATCAGAGTCTTACACACCCCAAGGTGAAGACATAACTTGGCATTTTCCCAGGTTGCAGGATCCCTTGCTTTTGCTGACGAGCTCAGCTGTGGAGTTACAACCGCAGCTCCATTAGCTCTCTCAAGGTTACCCTGGAGCCTGGGGACCAAGCCCAGGAGCTCTTCCCCTGGGCTTGCCAGCCACAAGCTTTCTCACAAGTCTGGCATCTTCCTTTTCAGCATGCCCAGCTCTGCTCGAGGCCAAGCGGTGTTTGGCATGCAACAAATGCAACTGTCCCCCTGCAAACCGGGATCTCTTAGCTGCCTTTTGCAGCATCAGAGCAGCATCAAGAGCACGTGCTGTGGCAGAGGGCCTGATCTCCCTCCAGTGAGTCTGAGGTCTGTGTTGCCCAGACATAGGAGCTGGGGAGAAATGACCAGGAAACAGCTTTTTTGTTCCGTGTTAAGCAAACCGTGCGGCAATTTAGTCACCCGAGGAGGGCTGGCAAAATCCGAAGAGTCAAGTATTTATAAAGCAGAAGTTTCTGCATGAGATGCCCACAAGAATACACTTTTTGATGCATTAGTTATACTATTAAAACCGTAGTTTGATGCCTGGTTAACATATTTATAGCATTAATATAGCTATTAATTAGTTATTAAATTAGTTATTAATTTGATTCTGCAGAGTTTACATGCTTGCTTATGTCTGATATATGTAGGAATTTCTTCTGGAGGCAGTAAATTTTAGTTAGCTTTTCCTGTAGTTGAACCTCTAGCAAGAATGTGATACCAGCAAGACACCCCTTTTCTTACTGATGCCATTTGCGATGTCATTTTTCAATGATAGTATAATCAATGTGTCTACTTCAATGTTACTCCTAATACAGATAAAGAAATAAGAAAGCAAAGTATAAAATCCTATAATGCCACTGATAACATTTGTTTTGCAGCTTTGGTTATTACAGGCATAGTAGCATAAATGAACCATAGAAAAATCTGTTGTGAATGGGTCAGGGGCAAGGGTGTCAAGGCATTATATTTTGGCATATTTTTTCCATGTTAATTTGAGTGTTCTTCATGTATTTTTGCTCTCTGTTTCTAACACTTAATGAGAGAAGAATGAAAAAGATACACAGGTAGGTAATTTTGGGTACATTTCTGTACCCTTAAGACTGGTAGGTCATGTTCTACTTTAATATGTGTACTTGAACGTGGTGCTTCTGTAGTTTATCTGAAAGCTATTACAGATTGTGAATTTTAATTTCAGTTTCATAAAGACCTAACATTAAAATTCATGTTTAGGCTTTGGATCCTAAAGGATTAGTACAACTAGAGGTGAGAACCAGCATGTGGAATTCTCTCTCTGTGTCCCATGGAATAGTATTTTAATATCCAGTCTACCTGCCCTGTATCAGCTCTTGCCGGTGGTGAAGCTGTGAGTTAGGATTTGGGGAAGGGTTTCATTTATCTCTGCATTTCCCTTGTGTTCCTAATTGCATGCTAATGTGCTGCTACATCAACTATCTTGCGGTTAAGTGTGTTTAGATTTTGGGAGGTCTCTGAGAAACGTCCTTTTCCTGGTCATGCAGTTAATGATGGGCTTGTCCGCGGAGACGCGGGCCCCATGCCGGGTTTGTTACCGGTCCAGGTGAGACGGGCAGCGCTCGAAGTTAGTGGAGGGCGACAGCTCAGTGCAGGGCCCTGATGGACTGGGGCAGTCATAGAATCATAGAATGCTTAGGGTTGGAAGGGACCTCTAGAGATCACCTAGTCCAACCCCCTGCACACGCAGGGTCACCTAGAGCACATGGCGCAGGACTGCGTCCAAGCGGGTTTGGAAGATCTCCAGAGAAGGAGACTCCACAACCTCTCTGGGCAGCCTGTTCCAGTGCTCTGGCACCCTCACTGTTAAGAAATTTTTCCTTAAGTTCCTGTGGAACTTAAGTTCCAGTGACTGTCGCGTGTTCTGGAGGACTAAGCTGTACCCCAGAGCTGAACCCCGGCAGTGCTTTGCGGAGGCGGTGACGTGCGTAGCTCGCTGTGCTGATCCGCGGAGCCGGGGGCGCTCCGGAAAAACGCGGCATCGGCCGCTCCGTCGCGCAGCCTCTCCTGCGCCACGCGCGATGTGCTTGGGCCCTGCGTGATGCTCGGAGAAATCCAAAGCTGCAAATCTGTGTGCCGAGTGTCTTGTTGTGTTTTCTCCAGGCCTTTGTGCTGGATGGGCCGTGCACGGTGTGAAGGGTGGGGGTTAAATGGCAGCATTTGCTGTTCAAACGAGGCAGGAGGAACTTCCAGGAACTTCCAGCTGGGGTCCAGGACAGCAGTCAAGCAGGCAGTGGCTACGCGCTTCCAGCCAGGCTTCTTTGGAGCGGTCGAAGGCAGAAAAATGTGAAGAGACATTGTAAATACAAATTGCTTATGTAAACTGTAACTCTCTGAACACCTATTCTGAAGTTTTTTTTTTCTTTTTTTGTCATGAAATGAAAAAGCATGGCTGTGGGGAGGGAACTTTACCTACTCATTTTTCAATTTCTGGGACAGGGAATATGGTGTTGCTGAGCAGGCTTTGGCTTCTGAAGAAGCTTCAGAAGAAGCCACTTTGCAAACCACTTTAGTGCACCAGGTTTTGGTGTAAAGATTAGTAGTACTGCAGGACTCGTTTTGTGCTTGTGTTTAAAATCACTGCAAGTTGTCATCACCATGATCCCCGTTCTCCTTCCCTACAAATTACTGATCCAAGGCAGTGGCTACGCGCTTCCAGCCAGGCTTCTTTGGAGCGGTCGAAGGCAGAAAAATGTGAAGAGACATTGTAAATACAAATTGCTTATGTAAACTGTAACTCTCTGAACACCTATTCTGAAGTTTTTTTTTTCTTTTTTTGTCATGAAATGAAAAGGCATGGCTGTGGGGAGGGAACTTTACCTACTCATTTTTCAATTTCTGGGACAGGGAATATGGTGTTGCTGAGCAGGCTTTGGCTTCTGAAGAAGCTTCAGAAGAAGCCACTTTGCAAACCACTTTAGTGCACCAGGTTTTGGTATAAAGATTAGTAGTACTGCAGGACTTGTTTTGTGCTTGTGTTTAAAATCAATGCAAGTTGTCATCACCATGATCCCCCTTCTCCTTCCCTACAAATTACTGATCCAACATGAGCTCTTGACAAGTACAGTATCAAGTGGCACACCTGTTATCGAGAGGGTTAAAGGGTAAATTTTCTCTTAAATCTCTTCTGTCAGGAATGTAAGTTCAGATGGAGCAGAAGCACGCAGAAGACTAAGAGAGTGCGATGGCCTGGTGGATGCCCTTCTTCATGCTCTACAGTCTGCAGTCGGCAAGAAGGATACAGACAATAAGGTGATCTTATATATTAAAATTTGGGTGATTTCTTCCATTAATTTAGGTGAAGCCTTGTGCTGGGAGCTGGATTTTGTTTGACCAGTATTGAAACAACATCATGATGGGGCATCAGCATGATGCTGCTACTTTAGCTTATGTGTTGGACGAGGAATTTTCAGGTAGTTCAAGGTCTTGATATATGTGTGTGCAGGTACTGCCAGTAGCACTGCTGCTGTTGTTCCTCATTATTTAATTGGCATTCGAAATTCAAATTCTGATCTGGAGAGTGTATTGTGCTCTGCACAATATCCGCATAGGAGGTGGTTTCCTTCTTGGTGATTTTATTCAGCACTAAGACATTCAGATGTGTCTTCAGGTGAGCAACGCTTTTGTCCTATTTGTTCTGTAGGTAAAGATTTTGATTCATAGGGTTTTATCATCATCTTGTCCTGTGGTGCTTGAAGCATATTTATACTTAAAAGATATATCCCAAGTTTAAACTGCTAAAAAAAAAAAAACAGAACATATACCTCTTTTATATATATATATGTATTTTTTTTAAAAAGGCTTTTAAAGGATCTTTATTTTATTCTTTGAGTCCCACCCTCTGAGGGACTGCATAACAACTCTAAAGCCCTGTTGCTTAATCAGATAATTTTGGAAGTGGATTTTGTTACCACATGGTAACTTTCATTGCAACCTACAGAGTATTGCACATGCCAGAAGCTGATGTACCATGTATTAGGTATTACCATGAGATGACGTGCTCAAATTGAAAACCTTACGGGGCCAAAGTTTGTCCCGAATAAAATTTAATAAATGGGTCCCTTGAGGCTTATTGGAAAAGTGAGAAAAAGCATTGCATTTTTTTTTTTTTTTTTTAAAAAAAGAAACACCTTCTGGTTGTTGGTTATCTTCTGGTGAATATGTGTTCTTTATGCAAGTGTAGGTTCTACTTTGTCCAAGTTCATGTGGTTTTTTTTTTATCAGAGAACTTGCATTCTGAATAGGTACGATTTATGAAACGATTCACTTTTGGAAGAAAATTTTAAAAAAGAAAAATATTTTAGAAGGGGGTTTTGAATATGAATGCTCTGTTCTTTTCCTGGGGTAGGTGGAGGGTTGTGGGGGAGCAGGGAACTCAATGTGTAGTAGAGCCATTTTTTTTTTTTTTAAAAAAAAAAGAAACACCTTCTGATTGTTGGTTATCTTCTGGTGAATATGTGTTCTTTATGCAAGTGTAGGTTGTACTTTGTCCAAGTTCATGTGGTATTTTTTTTATCAGAGAACTTGCATTCTGAATAGGTACGATTTATGAAACGATTCACTTTTGGAAGAAAATTTTAAAAAAGAAAAATATTTTAGAAGGGGGTTTTGAATATGAATGCTCTGTTCTTTTCCTGGGGTAGGTGGAGGGTTGTGGGGGAGCAGGGAACTCAATGTGTAGTAGAGCCGTTTGCAAATGAGGGTATGGTGGTACTTAATGCCTGTTTTCTTGACAGTCAGTGGAGAACTGCGTGTGCATCATGCGGAACCTTTCCTATCACGTCCACAAAGAAGTGCCCGGAGCCGATAAGTACCAAGAACTGGATGCTGGTCAGACTATGAGCACAGGAGGCTCTCAGAAAAAGAAGAAAGATGATGCTGGCTGTTTTGGAGGGAAAAAAGCTAAAGGTTTGTGTTGCAGGGAGTTGGGAACTGGGAGTGGGTTTGAGAGGTTTCTTTGCTATGTAGCCCTGTCCTTGCAAGTGCTTTTATCACACTAGTTTAGTATGAAGCAGCTCGTGGAGGTACCTGTTTACAGTGCTGTGGCATGTGTTGATCTCCCCTGTTGCAGTAGCAGTAGGTTTTGGGGATCTCTGCCAGAATTGCTGAATTTTGTTTGGCTTGGAGGAGGAGCGGTGCATGCTGACGTAAGACACGGCGCTGTTGGACGAGGGTGGATGTGCCCTGCCCTCCTCCATGGCTGCGTGCTCGCCTCTGCCAAATCCATGCTTGGGCCATCTGCTTGTCCGTGTAGCACGTGTCGCTGCCTCTGGAAGCCTGGCCAGCATGCAGGCATCTTCATGCATGGTTGTGCTGTCAGTGCTTGTTCCGTGGCTTTAATCTCTCCCATTTCTCCCCAACCAAAACATCCAACCTCTCAATTCTGTCACTCTTTCAGTAATTTAAATTGCAAACATGTTTTTTTTGTAGCTTTTAATTGTCAGTCACTTTTTAGAACTGTTCTCTCCTTTGGGGCATGAGTGTTGCAAATGCATTTCGTCTCGAGAGGATTAATTGTTTCAGTAAACCCTTTCCATTTTTCTTTTAAAAAGAGACACTCAAATTATGTTTTCTTTGTTATTTTAGAGAAATGATTCTTCCAGCCTGAATTCAGAGATAATGAACTCGGTTTTCTTTCTAGGCTTCATTTTCCCTTCCTACTCATTCATTTCATATTCCTTCAACCTCATCCTGGTTTACTTTTTGCTCTCAAGGTCTAAGGTGGGTTTTGGCACTGAAGAGAAGATCTGGAATTGTTCGATCCTGCTGGACTGTGTGTCACACTGGTCTGTTTGGTGCACTTTGGGAGAAGGAGACTGATGACTGAGAATTGGCATCATCCTCTCTGATACAACCAAGCTCTCTCAAGTGGCTTGTCACGTGCCATGTGTCTCCTGCTCCCTGTGGGGCCCATCTATGTACCTCTCTGGTTCCTGCTTATCAGCCAAAATACCCAATTTTTAGACAAAAAAAAAATCCCCAAATCACGTGACGCTGAGGGTGAGCTTACAGGTTTCAGTGAGCAGTGCAGGCACAGGACCCCTCAGTACCAACCAGCTGGTTTTGGTACTGTGTGGTTGGCAGGAAATCTCCAGTTTCTAAGCACATTTTAATGTCTTAGTTACCCTGTGTGGTGCTCTTTGGAGTGTGATGTTCCCTGGAGGGAAAGCAACTGGTAACTGTGCTGAGCTCGCAGCTGGCAGCATGCAGATCAGAATGATAGAGGGGGGCAAACAACTGTTTAAAAAAATAAAAATACCCATTAATAAATATGCTTTTGAATTCATAATTAGAAGCATCCTTTTTCACTCATAAATTTGTATATGAAGACCTATTCTGAAACTAGCTAATTTTGTCAGTCTAGAGCCTGAAAATAGATCAAGTCTCTCTCGCTCACTTATCTTGCAAGCTTTTCATGTGTTTTTTAGTTTCTTTTTATCTCATGGTCATTGATCACAGTATTTCAAACACCTCTGCAAAGGGCTCGTCACTTATCTGTCCCCTTGCTTCCTTGAGCACCTTTTCATGTAATGAAAAGGGAGGAGAAAGAACTGCAGGGAAAGAACTTTTTTTCAGCAGGAACAAAAGCGAGAAAGTGGAATTTCTTGATTTGTTTTTTAAGCAATGGAAGCTCTGTTGTATTCTTGTAATTCTCAGGTTTTGAGCCTATTTTGTGAAATTCTCTTTGTGACTGTTCCTTTGTATTTTCTTCCTTCCTGTAAATTTTTGTTTTTTCTTTGCTGCTTTTCTGGTAATTAGAGGAGTGGTTCAATCAAGGTGAGTCTTTGCAATACTTTATTTCATCATCACCATACCCTGCTTTATTCAGCTTTTACATGCAAGGCTAAGAGCTGAGATCCAGGTCTTGTTCATTCACCTTCTCCTTTGCACCCTGGTTCGTCCTCCTGTGCATTTCAGCAGGCATGGAAACCCTCTGTGTGGTTGTGGGAGCATTTTCAATTTGGTTGATGCTCCTCTTGCCTTGAGAACAATAAAAATAATAATAATAAAAAAAGGGTTGATGGGTTCCTGACGTAAGTGTCAGTGAGAGTTGACTTGCATCTGGCCTGGTGATGCTGGGGAGGAGGGAGCAGGTAAGTGTGCGAGTCCAGCACTGCCTCAGCCACCCTGTCATGCTGCAATGTGGCTTTGCTGGCCTGCCTGGACGGCCGCAGCTGTAGAGCAGCTTGGATGTGAAGTCTCAAGGATCCTGGGCACTTTGTGCAGTTGTGCATGTGTAACTGGGCTGCTGCATCCCTTGCTGGCACTCAGGCTAGCTAGGTGAAGCGAACCTTGGTACATTACTCACGATCTGTGTCCTTTATTTTTGAGTCCCAAAACAGTAAGTGGAATATATGAGATTGAGGCAAACTTCCACCACGCTCCTGGCACCAATTGGTGGTTGAGGCAGGGTCATGTTCAGGTAGCTGCAGTTGCTTCGTGTCAATGGGTTCTGGAGGGTTAAATCAAGAAAGAAATGTTGAAAAACATCCAAGTTTTTACCTGGCTGATGGGGCTTCGTAGAGTTAGGCAAGACACTGATTGCAGCCTGTGGCAGCTCACCTCAGTGGAGAAATGTTGGTTCGTGTCTTTGTTTTTCTGAAGGATCTCTTACCCTTTAGCTTTTCTCACCCAGAAAGTAGGTGTTTGAGGTTTAATCCCACAGTAAGAGGTGAAGGATATTGCCACTGGTTAATAAGTAATACTGAATCCCATCCCAGAGTCCTTACCGAGATTTTCACAGTGAAAATGCCAAAGGTCATGTTCTGATCGTTCCTTACGTAACAGAAGGAAGGGGATTTTTAATCCCATTCTTTCAGAGCCTGTAAATCACATCTTGCACAAGCCAAGTCTCATGTCAGGCTGTTTTCCCGGCCCAGAGTGCCGTGCCAGCTCCTGCAGCCAGGTCTCATAAAACAGAGCTGTCAGCAGGCGTGTTCAGAGCTGTCCGTCTGCTGGCAAGGTCTGGGCCTCTGCTTCTCATCCAGAGGCATCTTTGTTTCTCCGGTGCACCTAGGGCTGGAAAACCTGGAGAGCGAGGAGATGCACAGAAGGGTAAAAATCAAGACATATGAAAAACAGGCCTTACACTTCTTTTCTGCTGCCAGTACGATTATGTCAGCACCCTGGGCACGAGCATCGCAGGCTGGCCTGGCCGTGGGCTGCTCAGAGCTGCAGTAGCTGCCAGCAGAGCGGCTGTCCTCGAGCGCCCGTCGGGCTCGGTGACATCTGAAAAGTGTCTGATTGGCCCTTTAAGCCACTAACTGCAGTTCCCTCTTCAGAAAATCCTGCTCTGAGCAGTGGGTGCTGTAGAAATTACATGGGAAAATACCCACTGGGTCTCCGATCGGGAGATTTGCCTTCCGGAGGGATTTCTGTTGGTGCTGTCTTACAGCTTGGTCCTCTTGCTCCTCATCAGCTTCCCTGTATAGGAGGGCCCTGGAAAATGCTTTAGGCGTTTCCGAACCTGGCCCTTGCTTGATTTGTTTCAGTGGGTGGTTTTTGGAGCTGAGGTCACCTCAGCGAGAGCTGCCTGTGCTGAATTTCTTGCTCCCTCAAAGAGCTGCCTGGTCTAACCAGCCATGGCTTTGCCGGAGAGGAGGATTTAGGGCCTCAGAGGGCCAAGGGCAGCGAAGGCTTCATAGAAGGCCCAGAATTTCCAGTCAGGCCCAGGAGCTGAGAGGGCTGCAGAGCCCAGGAGGAGCGTGCGGCCGCCACGGGAGCTGGGATAGTGCCCAAGCCCTCAGGGCCAGCTCCGAGGCGCTGCCTGCGCTCCCCTCCGGCCTCCCCTGCACCCGCTCTGCCTTAACCCTGCGTGAAGAGGAAGGGTCAGCCCGTGGCTGCACCATCTCCATCCTGCAGGGTTGAGAGCAATAGCAACCCCAGATCTTTATAGAGGGACCTTCTGAATTTCTGTGTTTAGTTCCCCAAGCAGCATGTCACTAGCTCTTCCGTGGAGCAAAAAACAGATGGAGGACTGCAAAGTGGATCTGATTCCCATCCTTCATTTTAGGAAAAATCCCTTATAAAGCAGTGGCATGGTATGTGGCAGTAGCAGAACCTTTTGGCAGCTTAGTAAGGTGAGCTTTTTCATACTTCAGCAAAAGGCTTCAGATGGACAAAGCCTTCCAGTGGTGTGCTTTATTCTGCATGGTAGTTCGTGTTTCCATATAGTGTGTGGAATTTCCACAAAATGTACAGGCATGGAGTAGCCTCCTAAGCATTTATCTTCCTGTTATTTATGAATGTCCGTATCAGTACATAAAAGCTCTATTTCAAGCACAGTTCTCCATGCATTGCTGCATGAGCTTATCCTTTGCCATAGGAGGAAACGCTAGAGCAGTCTGTTGAACGCGCCGTGCAGAAGCCGTGCAGGCTCCCAGCTGCAACAGGGAGGGTTTGGCTCCTGCAAGTCCAGGAAATGATCAATGCTGCTTTTTAAAGAAATTGCTTATGAACTAGTGATGTCTTCTGCTTTTCAGATTTGTCGTAGCTCTGTCCTGTTTCATGACCTATTCCCAAACTAATCTCCCCTTCTGTTTAAGTGCTATTTTCCTGTTTGTTTTCAAGCGTCCCAGCTGTGCCCTTCCTGTAAAGCTCCATTAACAGTCTAGCAGATTCCCTGCTCAGAAGCCACCCCTGGTTGCTTAAACTGTACTGCTCATCCCACTGTCCTTTCCTGCTCTTGAGGATGAGGAACTAAATAACGTCTGTCATCCCGAAAATAACTTGGAAAAGCTCGACTGCAGACTGCTGTTCCCAGCAGCCGTGCAGATCCCTGCGGTTCCCTCGAGGTCTGTCCGTGCGGTCGGAGCTCTCCGATGGCCGGTGCCTCGGGTCACGCCGACGCGGCGCTCGAGCGTGTTCCCCCCAAGACGGTCTCCATGGGGGCACCGGGGCCTGAAAAGGGTCCCCATCTCCCCAGCTGCTTTCAAACCCTGGTGCCAAGCCTGTTGCAAGGGTGGACTAAAGGCCAGGTTTTGTTTTGCTTTCTCTAAAAGCATGTGTAAATTAGAGCTGATGTAATGTCTTAAAATTGTATCTTTTAGCAGAACTATGGATTTTTTTCCCTTGGTTTCTAATAATTAGCCAGAATTGCACTTTGGTGATTGAAGGGCAGTTCGAGATGAAGTTGCTGGCTGTTGCCTGTGCAATACATTAGATCTAGGCCTTCCTGCCTGCCAGGAGCAGTGAAAATAGAGAAGCCTGTTGCCCTTTGCTGTGCCACTGAAGTTTGTGCTTTGGATAAACTGCCAGTTAATCTGGTAGTCAGGTTGTATTTGAATTTACACAAAAATGGACAGAAGTTGTTCTGGGTTTGATGTTGAATCTGTGGAAGTAACAAGGAAGTGTTGGGCTGCTGAGGGAGGGGCTGTGACTTGGCAGTGTTGGGAAACAACATAATTTGCAAAGGTTTGAAGCACCCTTAAGACCACTGAAATGCCAGTACTCAGCATGTTTGCAGAGCAGCCTGGAAGTGGCACGGATTTCTGTCCCCAAGTTGTTCTTGGGAAGACTCCAACTATGCAGCTGGATTGCAAGCCAGATATGTCCAAATACTGCTGATGGTCTCTGTTTGCTATTCTGAGCCTGTATCTTCTGATCTTGTAGATGCACAAGACAGTAACTTATCTGTCAGTATGCTGACAGTTTTTACTATCTATTTGTCTTATTTTTCTACAGGAAAGAAGAATGGAGATTTGGACAGGAATTTTGATACACTTGATTTGCCAAAGAGGTCTGAAACAGCAAAAGGTAATGCTAATGTTTGTGCTTTTGGAAATAACAAGTAGTTTGAAAGCTGGAGCTCCTTAAAAGCACCTAAGACATGAGTGTAATGCTGATCTTTTTCTCTTGTGTTCAATTAATTGAAATAATAGATGGCAGTGCTTGTTACGTAGCTATACACAATTTTTGGATTAAATGCCCAAAGGCGTGGAATCTAGCAGAAGACCCTCAGATGTCGTGTCAGATGGTAGCACCTCCAGAAAGGGCTGAGGGTGCCCTGCTCCTTCAGACCTCACATTGCCTGCACTAGACCTGAACGTAGGCAGCTACAAAGCTCATTTATCACCAGCCTTTTCCCTTCCCTCATGTCTCTGTAGTTCTTCAGTGTTCAGAGGAACTGCAGAGTGAGAGGGGACTTCAATTTTTGGCTTTTACTGATAGTAGATGTGAATGCAGTATTACTTTGTGGCTTTCACAAGTAATGCCTGTGGGTTTTCAAAGTCTGGAGCTTCACTGAAAACTACTTCTGCACCATCCCTCTGTGTATCAGCTTTGCCAGAGCTGTGACCTTGCACCAGCAACTTCCCTTCCTGTGTGCGTCCTGATGAGAGGGTGGTCTGGGGTCTCATCGTGTCTTTACAGCACTGCATGGCAGCTGGTGGGGCAGGAAGACCTTCCCTGGAGCACCTGAATGCCCACAAATGCAAAGAGCTTCATGAGTATCTTTCAGAATGAAAACCTTGAGCTTGTCCTGTGTCACATACAGTATCAGAGAGCATAAAGAGATAGTGGGGCTCAATGGAAAATACTGCACTGTCAATTAAATTCACAACAGTGAAGGCCTGATTCATGATCCACAAACTAATCCTAGTCTGTAAGTGGATCTAATATATTTGTAGACACCATTTACAATGGGCATAGTTTCTAGGCTAGTGTCTAAACACTAATTTTTATTTGGTGCCTTCTTGCATGAGATACTAATGAATCTTCTGGAAGATACAATGCCATCTTGTTGAGAGCTGCAAAAAAAACCCCAAGCAGCCTTTGCTGCAAGGTTGTCAGTTCAGGGCTGGGTGCTGCAAACAAGGCGACATGGAGGGGAGGAAAAAAAGAAGAAGAAATGGCTGTAAAATAAATACACCAAGGGCTTCAGTTCTTTCATAACTTCCTAAGTGTAATAAGGATGTAGTTGTGTAGTTGCCAATGAAGCAAAAATTAAATTCAAGGATTTCTGCAGAGAAAATCTTGCATAACTTTTTTTAATTAAAGAAAGACTGTAGCTTTGCTAATGGTAGAAGTGTGGCATATCTGATGGGAGCCGTATCTGTCTCTCGGAGCTTACACGGCTCATTATTGTATTCGACTGTAATTGCCAACATCACATACTACTGAAGAGGGTTTCTTTGATAATTTTGAGATACCCGCATTTAATCAACATGGATAAATTTTGGTCTTACTTATGTATCTCATGCTAGATTAAATCAGGAGATTAATCCCACAGCATTTTGATGAAAGAAGCCCCTTGGCAGGGGAAAAGACATGAGAAACTATTCATTTGTGTGGTAAGAGGAAAACAAATTAAACTCATGGTACGTTTTTTGTTTGCTTGTTTTACCAGAAGTTTCCTGCACTGCCCTAGCTTACATGAGAGCTCCTGGGTATTGAAGGTTCTAACGAGATTGTTAGTACTTTGAGTTGCTCGGTAAGATGCGAGACATAAAATTGCACTTTCAAAACCCTTAAAAGCTCAGGTCAGGCCTGTGCCATGGAGTGTAATTGGCTCTGATGAGATCAGCTCTCAGCTGAAGCAGAACCTCGTTACTAAGACTGAAAAAAACATGCAAGTTTTAATGATCAAATGCTCTCCTTTTGAGTGACACAATGAAGTGCTGTTACAAAAATCAACAATTATAGATTAATCTCTTTCATGTATTATTAAAGCCAAATTAAAGCAAGTTTTCAGCCAGAATCTTGGTGAGCAAAAGAAATTGCAGTAATAAGAGTTAGTCATGCAGAGCAGCAAATGAACATTGCGGTAGTTAACTAAATATGGGGATGCTGCGGCGTTGGGTTTCCTCAAGTCAGCTTCCCCGGCGCTCCTCGGGTGGATGGAAAAAGAAGATTCCCAGAAGCCGAGGTCGTGATTTCCCTTTGGTGTCATCACGGAGTTAACCGACAAAGCTGATGGCGGCTTTAAAAACTGAACTCGAGAAGGGTCAGACCTATTTTCCATGTTATCTGGCAATGTAGCGTGGGCTCTGCAGGACTCCAGTGTCAGGGATCTCTGCCCGTTCAGTAGCTGGCCGTGGTAACTAGAAGCTTTTGTGGTTTCTAGTTTTGGCAGGGAGGAGGGTTGGTGCAGAGGGTTTTTACCATCTTTGGTCAAGATACCCACGTGTTCCCAGGCTATCCTGGACAGACCAAAGGGTGCTGTGGTTATTACCTAGTTTAAATGCTAGTATTTTTCTTTTCCTCGAATTTCTTCTGCAAAAGAATGGAAGATTAAAGTCAACTTTTTTTCTTCTTTTCTCTGAAAATCAGATTATTCTGCAGGACAGAGTTTGAGCAGCCCTGAAACCATTTCTAAACCTCTAATACTTTTATGTGCGAAGCCTTCTGACTGGGGCCTGGTTCCATTTCAGAGCTGTTATCTGTGCTAAGCTGGGTATGCTGGGTGGGAGAGGCTGCAGCGCTTTCAGACGCCGTCTTGTTTGACACTAAAAATATAAATAAATCCAGCCGTGTCCACAGCAGTGCTGTCTTCATGAACAAAGATTGGGCAGGAGAAGCTTCCTGTTGTCCTGCGCCAAAAGGAGCGTGTTGTTCTGACAGACAGGCAGAGGGGGTCAGTTTTTGGAAGTGGTAAGAGCAGGGATAGACAGCCTTGTGAGAGAGGGACTCCTCATTGACCAGAAATTATCATGGCTGTGCTTGAGACCTGGCTAAATTTAGTAGTTTCAAAAAAAATCTGCTTCTGTGAGGGAGAAAAAGTCTTGCTAAAATCCCTTTGCTAGTGCAAAGTAGGTCGCTGAGAGCGGTGCCTCCCGTCTCCGCTGCCATGGGCTCTTTCCCAGCTGCCCTGTGCGAGTGCCGATTCCTCCTGTGTGTGTATTAAATCCATAGGACAGCACAGTTCCTGCGCTTCGTCCTTGTTTCTGAGCAAGGAGTAGTGATGAGAAACTCGTATGTTGTGGGTGAGCTGGGATTAATCATAGCTGTGCCGTGGAAAACCGGATCTCCGGTGGCAGCGTGGGAGATGAGGCTTCCTGCAAGGACTCGGCACGGATGTGTGTCAGCCCTCCAAAGACACGAGAAAGGTTGGGACCTTTAATCTTCCTGCCGTGAAGGTGCTGGATTGGCCACCTCTCGTCATCACTCCTGGGGTAAGAGGAGCAAGTCCAGAAGAGCAAAACGGCTTTTGAGGTGGAATCAGCCAGTTAATAGTGATTAAATCCAAAGCTCCTGACTCCTATTTACGTGCACATACCCCTAATGGCATAGAATTGGATGCTGTAAGATAGTATTGAGTGTTGAAAATGAAGTTCAGTTATGCTCTCAGTTTATCTCGTTGGGGAATTAAAAATTTTCAGGCATAAGGAGGCGTTCAGGTTCATTTCAGCCTGATGCATGAGCTAACTCATTTTCTCCTTTAAATTAGTTATTCAAGTAGTTCTTAATTTATCTTTCCCATTTTGATTATTTAATTTAACTTGCATTTTAATGGCAACGTGAACATAACCTGCTTGGTGTTGAGCCAGCCTGCGCCGTTGTAACAGGACCCAGCAGAAGAGCTGCGTGTTGGAAAGCTCTGCTTTGGCTCTGGTCAGTGGCCGGGACACGGGGGAATGAGCTTTGGGTGAACTTGTCAGCAGGCAAATTTCTTCTCTCGCTCTTATCGCAAATACTTAGTCACTTCCCATATAGCCTCATGCTGGTGATAGATTTTCCATTCCAGGAGGTGAGTGTTTAAATTTGCTTATAAATCTTTGGGTTACTGCTCCAGGAAATTAGACTTCCTGGTGCTGTCAGGGTAATGATTTTAACCTAGTAGATTACCAAAATGCCAGCAATTTATCTTCTGCTAAAGGCAACAGTGTGGGGGGGAGAGAAACTTCACTAAAGCTTTGCTCTGACTTTGGGTTTGTAATTAAGTGTGGCTGCAGTTCTCACCTTCGCTGCTATTTTAATTTGCTTTCTTCAAATCTTCGCATGTGGACTCAAGCATTCACCTGCCCTTTCTGACTCCTTCAATCATTAATTTTGATCGGTGTGATTTGAGGGAGTGAGCAGCACTGATTGATTAGTGGTTCCCTCCAGTGGAAATGGTCTGAGGGACTGGGAGGATCCCCTCTGTGAGAGCAGGTAACAGTTCTGTGCTAACAGCTTCTAAGTATTTCATGCACGATGTCAAGAATTCCTATCAGAATTATTAAGTATCTCTTCTCTCTGTTGCTTTGCTGAGTAGAGTATTCATTTTGGTCCCATGTGTTTTTCATAATTTACAAAGCAGTAAAAGATTGCTCATCTGTCTTCCAGTGCTTTGAGTCAAAGAAACTTTATTACCTTGGATAGGGAAATTCTCTTATGCAGCTGACCCTTGCCAAGTTTTTCTAGCCTGATACATGTAAATTTGAATTATTTTTTTCTGCATCTGCCACAACTTCAGGATGTGGTCAGCAGAGGACTTCTCCATGCACATGCCTTCTCCAGCTGACTTCTTATAGTGCAGAGATCTATTTTTTTTTTTTTCTGGAACACTCTGCTTTTATTTTCACCACCTTTTGCAATTCTTATGTTGAGCCACCTGTTTGTTCAAAGCAAGGTAGAAACATGGCACTGGATTGCCTCCTGGCTTGCTGAACTTGGTGCAGAAGTGCAGATGGAAACTATGATCTTTATGGAGCTGCTCAAATCAATTATGTATGCCATGAATTGTAAGTATAGAACTGGTGCTGAAAAATCGTATAGGGAGGGATGCAGCTGGAATGTGGATTGGAGGTCCAGGAACAGGCTGCAGTGACACTTGT